TTAGCTCCTGTAGAACCGCATTTAGGATATTGACATTGTGAAACAGCGTAGACCCAGGTTAGCTTAGCGCCTGTAGATCAGCTTTGTGAACATATTGCTTAGACCCCGGTGATTAGCACAGGTTGATCAGCAACAGCTGTGTTTCCACACAGCCTCGTTTTGATTATTGTTTTGTTCCACTTTAGAAGTGAGGTACTTTCTTTTCCTTTTGTATACCCTGGTGCTACTCTCTTTTGGAGTGCTCCTCTTGTTAACTAGTAACAGTTTGGCCCTGTGTTGGTGTCAAACTGTTTGTGTACATTCTGGTGTTTATCATTTTTGGTTACAAATAAACCACCGGTAACAATTACCAATTCCAAACTGGTCGTGTCGTTTCCCTTTGTACCCCTAGCCAAGAGGGAACGTAACAGTTACATACCCCTTACTCCATGTGCAGGATCTGGCTCTTCATCGTCTCCATGGTTCCAACTCATCTGAAAAACACAAATCAATATATTTATGTATAAATAAAAAAAGTTAATTTGTCCAATTTTCATTTCCCGTCCTTTTAGTCAATTTCCTGTAGTTATATTTTTTCTGAATGTTGTTGTAGAAATAATCTTGTTTCTGTAATGCACTAAATGTATTTGAATATATCTATTGAAAAGGCTTTGTATTATTATTATCATTTTAATAATATTATCATAAGTAATAATAATAATACATAAATTGAGCACATACCTTCAATCTCAATCTCGTCAAGAGATGTTCCTTGATATGCAGCCAAAGATCCTTTCTCCATCGCCAGTAGAATCTTTGAGATTTTTGCAATCTCAATAGTTGCCTCTGGCAGTCGATAAAAGTCTCGATGGACCCGTATGGCATGGCCCAAGAAGTTGGCTAGTTGGTCTAGCTCATTGTTCTTAAGGTTAAGAATCTGGGACAATGCTTGCGAAGTTGTGTAGACCTGAGATACTCCGGATTGTTTGCACCACACTGACGTGCAAAAAGCCTGATGCAGTCCTGTCCCCTGTAGAAGCTGGTGGAGGGGCACGGTGATCTTCCAAATACACTCTTAAAAATGTTGGGTTGTTTTGTCAACCCAACCACTGGGTTGAGCCTGTTGGTTAATTTAATTGGGTTATTTTGATGGAAATGGGTATTCTGAGAACCCAATTCGCTAGGTTATTTCTGTTGGGTATAGAGTTATTAGCTGTTGGGTTGCAATTTCTATGAGGTTGTGTTGGGTTGTTTTGGAATACCCAACACATTGGGTTGACGTGCACAACCCGCGAAACCAAGCACCTCCCACTCTCCCGCTCCAACACGACAGTTAAGTTTTGGTCAGACGGTCCCAGTAAGTGAAGAGAGGAGACTCAAAGCAAAGGTTTGTTACATACATTACATATACATTGTTTTACCATGTAGTTGACTTGATATTATTATTATATAAAGCGTCATATTGTTGTTAAGATGTAAGTTCGTGGAGCACTATTGTGTACATTGCATCAAAGTAGCAAGCTAACACGTTAGCTGGCTAGCTATGTAGCAAACACACTATGTTGTTGTTACTCAAAATGACCCGAGAAATGTGTCATGTATTGTAGCTAGGAGGACAACGTTAGTTATCTCGTCAATTTGGCTTTTAATGCAATATCACACAAGTGAGTGTTATTGAGGGGAAAGCGCGGTAGTGAATCAGCTAGCCTCTGCATGCTAGCAGGCCTCACCTAGCTAGCTCACCAGGCTTTCCACGGCACCCGTTTAACCGCCGACTAAAACTTTGGTAACGTTAACGTTAGGCCTAACCATCCATCCATCCATCCATCCATCTTCTCCCGCTTATCCGTGGTCGGGTCGCGGGGGTAGCAGTTCCAGCAGAGAGCCCCAAACTTTCTTTTCCCTGGCGACATCAACCAGCTCTGACTGGGGGATCCCAAGGCGCTCCCAGGCCAGCGAAGAGATATAATCCCTCCACCTGGTCCTAGGTCTACCCCTTGGTCTCTTCCCAGCTGGACGTGCCTGGAACACCTCCCTAGGGAGGCGCCCAGGTGGCATCCTAACTAGGTGCCCGAACCACCTCAACTGGCTCCTTTCGACGCGAAGGAGGAGCGGCTCAACTCCGAGTCCCTCCCTGATGACCGAACTTCTCACCTTATCCCTAAGGGAGACACCAGCCACCCTGCGGAGAAAAACCCATCTCGGCCGCTTGTATCCGCGATCTCGTTCTTTCGGTCATGACCCATCCTTCATGACCATAGGTGAGGGTAGGAACGAAAATGGCCCGGAAGACCGAGAGCTTTGCCTTCTGGCTCAGCTCCCTTTTCGTCACAACGGTGCGGTAAAGCGACTGCAGTACCGCTCCCGCTGCTCCGATTCTCCGGCCCATCTCACGCTCCATTGTTCCCTCACTCGAGAACAAGACCCCGAGATACTTGAACTCCTTCACTTGGGGTAAGGACTCATTCCCTACCTGGAGTGGACAGTCCATCGGTTTCCTGCTGAGAACCATGGCCTCAGATTTGGAGGTGCTGATCCTCATCCCAGCCGCTTCACACTCGGTTGCGAACCGATCCAGTGAGTGCTGAAGGTCGCAGACCGATGAAGCCATTAGAACCACATCATCTGCAAAAAGCAGTGGTGCAATCCTTAGTCCACCGAACTGCAGACCCCCTCCCCCATGACTACGCCTCGAAATCCGATCCATGTATATTACAAACAGGATTGGTGACAAAGCGCAGCCCTGGCGGAGGCCAACCCTCACCGGAAATGGGTCCGACTTACTGCCGAGGACCCGGACACAGCTCTCGCTTTGGGAGTACAGAGATTGGATGGCCATGAGTAGAGACCCCCTCACCCCATACTCCCGCAGCACCTCCCACAGTAACTTCCTTTGGCGTTCCTGTTGCTATATACTGTACATAGCAACAGGAACCCCCTTTGGCGTCCTGTTGCTATGTACAGTATATAGCAACAGGAACCCCCCTTTGGCGTTCCTGTTGCTATGTACAGTATATAGCAACAGGAACCCCCTTTGGCGTTCTGTTGCTATGTACAGTATATAGCAACAGGAACCCCCTTTGGCGTTCCTGTTGCTATGTACAGTATATAGCAACAGGAACCCCCTTTGGCGTTCCTGTTGCTATGTACAGTATATAGCAACAGGAACCCCCTTTGGCGTTCCTGTTGCTATGTACAGTATATAGCAACAGGAACCCCCTTTAGCGTTCCTGTTGCTATCGTACAGTATATAGCAACAGGAACCCCCTTTGGCGTTCCTGGTGCTATGTACAGTATATAGCAACAGGAACCCCCTTTGGCGTTCCTGTTGCTATGTACAGTATATAGCAACAGAACCCCCTTTGGCGTTCCTGTTGCTATGTACAGTATATAGCAACAGGAACCCCCTTTGGCGTTCCTGTTGCTATGTACAGTATATAGCAACAGGAACCCCCTTTGGCGTTCCTGTTGCTATGTACAGTATATAGCAACAGGAACCCCCTTAGCGTTCCTGTTGCTATGTACAGTATATAGCAACAGGAACCCCCGTTGGGCGTTCCTGTTGCTATGTACAGTATATAGCAACAGGAACCCCCCTTTAGCGTTCCTGTTGCTATGTACAGTATATAGCAACAGGAACCCCCTTTAGCGTTCCTGTTGCTATGTGACAGTATATAAGCAACAGGAACCCCCTTTAGCGTTCCTGTTGCTATGTACAGTATATAGCAACCAGGAACCCCCTTTAGCGTTCCTGTTGCTATGTACAGTATATAGCAACAGGAACCCCCTTTAGCGTTCCTGTGCTATGTACAGTATATAGCAACAGGAACCCCCTTTAGCGTTCCTGTTGACTATGTACAGTATATAGCAACAGGAACCCCCTTTAGCGTTCCTGTTGCTATGTACAGTATATAGCAACAGGAACCCCCTTTAGCGTTCCTGTTGCTATGTACAGTATATAGCAACAGGAACCCCCTTTAGCGTTCCTGTTGCTATGTACAGTATATAGCAACAGGAACCCCTTTAGCGTCCTGTTGCTATGTACAGTATATAGCCAACCAGGAACCCCCTTTTTGCGTTCCTGTTGCTATGTACAGTATATAGCCAACAGGAACCCCCTTTAGCGTTCCTGTTGCTATGTTACAGTATATAGCAACAGGTAACCCCCTTTGCGTTCCTGTTGCTATGTACAGTATATCAGCCAACAGGAACCCCCTTTAGCGTTCCTGTTGCTATGTACAGTATATAGCAACAGGAACCCCCTTTAGCGTTCTGTTGCTATGTACAGTATTATAGCCAACAGGAACCCCCTTTAGCGTTCCTGTTGCTATGTACAGTATATAGCAACAGGAACCCCCTTTAGCGTTCCTGTTGCTATGTACAGTATATAGCAACAGGAACCCCCTTTAGCGTTCCTGTTGCTATGTACAGTATATAGCAACAGGAACCCCCTTTAGCGTTCCTGTTGCTATGTACAGTATATAGCAACAGGAACCCCCTTTAGCGTTCCTGTTGCTATGTACAGTATATAGCAACAGGAACCCCCTTTAGCGTTCCTGTTGCTATGTACAGTATATAGCAACAGGAACCCCCTTTAGCGTTCCTGTTGCTATGTACAGTATATAGCAACAGGAACCCCCCTTTAGCGTTCCTGTTGCTATGTACAGTATATAGCAACAGGAACCCCCTTTAGCGTTCCTGTTGCTATGTACAGTATATAGCCAACAGGAACCCCCTTTAGCGTTCCTGTTGCTATGTACAGTATATAGCAACAGGAACCCCCTTTGGCGTTCCTGTTGCTATGTACAGTATATAGCAACAGGAACCCCCTTTAGCGTTCCTGTTGCTATGTACAGTATATAGCAACAGGAACCCCCTTTAGCGTTCCTGTTGCTATGTACAGTATATAGCAACAGGAACCCCCTTTAGCGTTCCTGTTGCTATGTACAGTATATAGCCAACAGGAACCCCCTTTAGCGTTCCTGTTGCTATGTACAGTATATAGCAACAGGAACCCCCTTTAGCGTTCCTGTTGCTATGTACAGTATATAGCAACATACATCTTTTGTAATTTTTGAATAAATATTTGAAGTTTTTCAGAAAACTTCAGGATTTAGAAGGCGTTTTTAGAATCGGCCTCAGGTCTAAATGGGTTCATCCAATAGTATACACAGGACATGCTGTATAAAGCCCACTTCTTTTCAGAAGTAGTAGAGTTGGTGCATATAATTCTTGTGCACATACAGTAGCTTGTGCACATTATGTTATGCATTGTCACTACTCGTGAGTTTGGATTCCTACAGGCTAAATCTTGGTCATGCTTTTATTAACCTTGCTTCTTTAAGTATTGGAGCTCAGCCATCATAGGTCTTGTCAACTTGCCCTGAATTATGTCAATATCTTTATTTGTCCTGGATTTCAAACTGCATCACTTTATGGTCAGGAAAATGTACTTTTTTACTATGCACTAGGAATAGTGAGTATATTGTCTAAATGACCATGTTTCTCAATTTGTCTCCATCTTTTAGATTGCACAAGATGTTTCGATCCTCTTCGCAGAGCCTGCACCTAAACTCTTGGAAACGTGGGTTCCTCTTTACGCTGACCAGATCATTCGTCTGGCGAAACGCGAAGGGAAACTCGCATTGCCAGAGGAACAGATCAATCTGGGTAAGATAGTTATTTTATAACAAACTTAGCAAATGTAAAGAATACCTTACTAATAATAATAATGAGTTTGTTTTTATATCATGCTTTTCTGGATACTCAAATGCACTGTACATAAGAACTTAACTAACAGAACACTCAAACAAGAAAGACTTTTTTCTGGGTGATTTGATTGATGTGGAACTTTATTGTATGATCCGACTATTCGAGTCTATATGGACACCCATCACTGTCCTCCTACAGGTGCCAGGGGAGAAGTAGCCCTGATGCTGCTGCCTGTCATGCTCCCTCTGCCTGTATATAAACAGGGCAAAAATTGGTCCGCGCCAGTGTGGAAGAATCTAAATCATTCTTCATTGATGTTAAGCCCGTAAGTTATTTACCTTTGAACAGAAATTCAAATATAAATTCATAGTGAAATGACTCCAATCATTCTTTAACACTGTTGGAAAGCCTGATTCCTCTTTACAACGAGGTGCAACTTGTAAAGATTGTATTCGTGGAATGAGTGACACAGCTTGACGTTTGTCAGAATACTCATTTCATGAAGCACTATTATTACAAGTTGTAACTCGGTATAAATTGTTACTCCATATCGACGTGGGATGTGTAAACCACAGACCACACATAAGTAGACTGGCCACGCACCCAGAATAAATTGTTTAAGACCACGCCATTGAATTTAGGGCTTCTTTCTTAAATCAGCTGATGGGGTGGGAGAGGGTTGAAAGAGCTTCAGCTGATGACAATTTCTCTGCACCGGTAGAAATACTTATCTTTTTTCTTTTCTTTCTCATCATAGGTCGGAACTAACATGGTGGAGTATTTGGAGCAAGCCAAATCGTCCAGGTCGTGCCCGTTCGTGCTACTGCTTCAGGATGGGATGCTGTGCTCTCAAGCCTTTGTTGTTATCTCAGGCAAGGCTATTGAGACTGGGCTCTCGCAGCTGCTGTGGATACCTGTTTCAAGAGTTTTTATGTCTTTGACATAAACTATACAAATCAGTGTTTGCCTACTTGGCAATTCTTCCAGGATGTTGTTTATGAACTCGAGGGAACTGTTTCCCCAGCAGTGAAGTTCCTGAAAATGCAAATACATGCTTGTAACTAGACTGGCCTGCATCCCCCCCACCCATCTCTTCCTTTCTCTCTCCTCTCCCTCTTGTTCCACATCTCCTAGTATCAATAACCCTTGTGTGAGGAACTGGGAATTTAATTTTTTGATGTGTTTTGATTCTGTGATTTTAATTTGAATAAATCATTATTGTTACATTGGTGTGAGAATATATTTGATCAAGAAAACAACCGAAGGATCAGAGGTGAGTAAATGCCAACAATCACACGATTGTGATTGTGATAATTTTGTTAAGTTCATGACTATCAGTTGTGCCAATAAAATGTCAATTATAAAAGGGAAAACAATCCATTATAATTAGTAATAATTCATAATTATACATTAACAACTAAACCCAGCAGTGTAGTCAATGTGAACCCTTCATTGGGTTATATAACCAACCCAATTTGTTGGGTAATATTATATAACCAACCCAATTTGTTGGGTAATAAAACCAACCTAATTTGCTGGGTTAAATTAACCCAGCGTGTGTTCTGTCCAATATTTAACCAGCGCTGGGTTGGGAAACAACCCAGCGCTGGGTTGGGAAACAACCCAGCGCTGGGTTGTTTTTAACCCAGTAGTTTTAAGAGTGTAGGAAAGGGTTGTCCTTGTGCACATCACACAAGTCTCTTTTGTCAGCAAGGAGTGTTGTTGCACTGACAACTTCAGGGTTTAACAAAATGGCAACTTTCCTTCCTCTTTTGCACATTATTTCCACCCTACTGAAATGCTTGGCCAGCTTTTGCTCGAATGGCGAGAGGCTAACAGCAATGTCCTCCTTTTTGAGACCTCTCCTGCACGGCGCCTGTTGAAGATAATTATTTGAGCTAGTGTAACTCTGGCTAGCTCTGCATAACTCTGTGAAGTTCTCCATAGCAGTAGCTGATTTCTTCTCCAGGTACTGGTGGAGGAGCTGCACATCCTTTGTAAAAGGTATTGTACACGGTCTGTTAAACTTAGACATGCTCAAAGTAGCAAGAGCCATGTGGGAGATAAGTTCATTCCAGTCTTTAGTGCACAGTTGTGTGAAACGCTCTGATGCTTTGATCATCAATTCATCTTCTGCAGCAATGGCTCTACAGAGAATAATACTGCCAATCTTCTTGAGTGAATGTCCTAATTTCAGAGCCACACTTGGTATGTGGTAGCAGTGCTTCTCTTCATCGTAACCAGCAACATCTCTGACTGCCTCAATGACTTTGTAAAAGCTGCTTGGTTTTACAGCATCTTCATTAAGAGCCTGCCCTTTCTGTCTGATGTATTCCAATGTTGTCGAATCACTACCATGTGTATTGTAGAGTGACTGAGCCAGTATGAGGAAATCATTCCGTGAAACTGATGCCACTTCATCTTGCTTCATATTTCCAAGGATCTTCCACAAACCAGGAGAAATTGCTTGGGAGAAAGTTGACTCTGCAATATCAGCCAGTACTAGGACCAGTTGCTTCAGTGTCTGAGACGGTCTTTGAAGGACATCTACGCATGTGGCGCCAAAGTTCTTTGCGGACAAACATGCCTTTACAATATACACAGTGCACATATTTGTTGGCATCCAGTGAGACATTTGATCTTCGTGGTCTTGGTTTTAGTTTCCGCTTTGATTCTGCATCGTCTCCTGATTATGATGGTTACCTTTGTTTCGCAGCTTTTCAAGTAACCTTCTTCTCTCTCTAGAGTTTAGGGAACATAAATGCTTCAGCAATTTCAGGTTGTTCTTTCTCATGCTTCTTAAAGTGACGAGCAATCTTAGATTGAGGTTTATTGCAAACAACAGTAATTGTTGAGGGTGCAAGAAGAGTCTTTGGGGTTTGCAACACTCTCAATTGTCGCCCTCTCGGAGTAATGAGACTCTGTTACAGCTGTTGCTTGTGGTTCATTCTCAGAACTGGATGCGCCATCAGGGATGAAATGTTCATGAAGTTGGAATGTGTCAGAGGTAGTAGCAGCCGTGTCTTGCTGTTCAACACAGTTCTTTGTAGAGACGGTTGGTGCAGTCTTACCATGGGGTGGCTTTGAATCCCTGATGGTGGCTTTGAGTATTTGCTTCAGAGTCAGGAGGACAGTCTTCATCAGCGCTGGATCCATCGCTGCTAGACGCTGTTTCAGGAATGTAGTCTTTATCACTGACGGAACCTTCATTACTAGAAAGCCAGATGTCCTTCATCTTCAAAAGAAAATAAAGGAACCAAGTTTATATTTAGAAATCAGATATTTATATAAACACATGACGGACCGGTGAGTCGTTGTTCTTGATGCAGCGGGTTCTGTGCCATGAGGTTGAACTTACTAAAACACAATTACACAAGAAAAATGTACTGGTAACATTTCTTGAGCATTATTTTTACATGTAATCACTGTGCTTTCACTATATAACAAAGAAGAAAGTAAGTCATTTAGAATCTAAGTTAAGTATTTGAAATTAAGTTTGTTTTATCGAAATGTTTATCATCTCAGAGTAAAAAAAAAAACGGTGTTGTTTGACAGGTACTTACATTTACACGTTGAGACAGGTCCTGTGCAATCATGACAATTGTCCAAAGAGGAAATAACTGCACTGGTGAGTTCATGATGACACTGTGGATACACAATTAACATAAACAAAATAAATATATATGTTATTTTAAGTGTGTTTGAGTGTGAAAATGTGACTCAGATACATTTAGGACATAATCCTTATGACAATGAAAAATAATAAGGTTCGTCTGCTTGGACACCTTATTTTATATAAAAAACATATTGTACTCATCATTTTGAAAATCTCTTAGCATCTGACTTAGAGCAGTTGCAGTAGTATTGAAAGTATGTCCTGCCTAAATTGTGTATCTTAGGTCAAGGCGTCATCAATGCTAACAAGCTGACAGATATCCAACTTGCCATATACGAAGGATTCCTCCCTTTAACAGTGTGTGAAAAAACAATGGTGAGAGTATTGTGAAGTACAACTTGCCATTTTGGTTGGTGGGGAGGACGGAGGATCTCTGTCGGGCTCAGGGTTACAAGCTACTTCACAGGGAGCCTGCAATTGTAGCACAAGAAGACACCGTTGTCACCTTGGTAGTGTTTGATCTGACTTGTGTGCTGCAAAGGGTTAACAGTTATGGAGGTGTGCACATGCTGGATGAAGGCAATGATCTAATGTCTAGTCATGTCAACAGGTTGTAAAACATCTGTCCTTACAAGGACTGCTGTCCCTACAAGACACCCTGTGACCAGACGGCCATTTTCTTTCTGTGTATAACATTTAACCCGTTTCAATTTGACCCAAAGTATTGGGAAATGGAGCCCCCTACCAAGACGATAGTCCTGGTAAGACAGCTTCAATCTATACCGGTCAGCGACACGCAACAATGTGTGGAAAAACAATGCATTGAAACGTACCATCTTGTCCCGATGTGTTAGCAGTTGTACGATGTTCGGTCCCAGCCTCTCGTGTCCCACCACATACTTCCTGTACATAAGTGAAAGATATTATCGACTCTTTTGTTATTAATCAGGTGAAATTCAGAAAATAATGTTAACACAGTACACATTTGTTACTGAAACAAATCAAATCTGCTTAACTGAGCTGAGTGGGAGTACCATGGAGAACAATGCACCACTTTGTCCCTGTCAGTTAAGCAATGCCCTAAAGAGAACAGAACCTCACCTTTAAGCGCCAGGGCCAAGCAGAATCCCCATAGTTGTACGTTATCTCCTCCTCTGGGAATATTTCCTTTACAGAATATAGGCACAAGTGTGGGGTTCCTTTGACAACGATTTGTTTCACTCTGCAGTTTGGATTCCTGTGATTATCATTTGTAAGACGTCCAAGTGTTCCATCCTCTTTTGAAGCATTAATGCTGCAAGACAAATAGTCCAGATACAACATCATGCATCATGACAGAAAAGCACTGAATTCATAAAGAAGTCACATACATCTGATAATGGTCAAATATCCATTTGAGGTAATCAACAAGCAGCAAACTCACCAAAAGTGCATTCCAGACCAGTTGAAATCGAATAAGAAGATCTAGATCTTCACTTACACCCAATATTCCACGGTACTCCACCACAAAAGTTGACGGTGCAATATATTCCCGTGTAAAAACACCATGTCCTACAATAGCAAAAAAAAATGCATTAACATTAAACATTACCTATACCCAATTATTTGTAAATATTTGCCATGAGTGTGTTAGATGTAGTGTTAATTTCGTTGACTAAATCTATGACGAAATATGTTCGTCAACGACCTTTTTTTCCATGACGAAAACGAGACGATGACGAGACGGCACCGACGGCAGTAAACAATAACTGTAACGAAATCATCATGCAATATCATTGACGAAAAGTGACGAGACGAAAATGCAGTTCACTAAATAAAAACTATGCCAAAATCTCTTTACTTTCGTTGACGAAAAATGAGGAGATGAAATATTATCAAAGATAACGTTACATCTCTGATAGTCAGTTTTTCTCCCAGCAGTTCCATTTCCGGGGCTGCGGCTGGGCAGCAGCTGTGTGTGTCTGCGGTGCGCGCGGCGGTAGATTTGAATTACACCGGGCAGCGGCACAATATGAACTGTCAGGAAGACTCGGGTCTAACTCATGGTCTAACTAACCTTATTTAACAGAAAATGAAATGGCAACAGGGCTTGGGAGCAGTGGTCGCACTCGCGTTAACCGAATACCCCCCCGTCAGCGCGAGTGATTGATAAATTGTGCACTCGACGGATAATAATGGATTATGACGGAAATGTTACGATCCGTCAAAATGACTGACAACGAAAAAGTCTAAAGCCACCACTGCTTGGGAGAAAGAAACGATGTGATATTTGGGCCCATTTTCGCTACAATGAGGCGGAGAAAAAAAGCGAATGCATTGTTTCATCAGAAGGGAAGCAATGTGGCCAAAACACAGCTGGTAAAAACACCACAAACCTGAGCAGATACTCTGCAAAGCTTCTCAATCATTCAACCTGAGATTTTCATCAAATAAGGACAAGATATAATCTTATTTATTTATATATACTAAAGTGACAAATTATTGGTTTTGGCTAGACTAGTTTGACTGAAATGTTCTATATAATCTGATGACTAAAAAATA